CGACTCTCTCAAATCACTTAGACGCCACTAGAAAGCCCGAAAAAGACCAACTAGAGCAGAAATCAAATCAAACATAATCCAAAAACAACATAGGTAATCCTAATTAAACTCCCACCAAACAGCCCTCCTTTCCATAATTAATTTTCCTCATCGAATTGAATTTCAAATTATAATTCTTTCCTTCCCTAATTCAATCCTTATTCCTCTTTCTCTCATACTGAAATTTAATATTGTTGGGCCTCACAAGAGGGGCCAAAATAATTGCTCTAGGTCTTGCCCCTTCCTGTTGGACTCCCGCCCCTTCGTACTAGACCAATAGGCCCCCTCCAGCTATATCAATACTCCCCTCCCCAAAATGCACATTGTCCTCATGGTGGAAGCATGGGAACTGTCTCTAGATCGTTTAGTATGGCTCTCACGTAGCCTCATAATCAGGTAGATCCTTCCATCGTACTAGGACCTTCTTTGCTCTAGTCGTCCCTTGTCGTGCTCCAATGATCGCCCTAGGTTCCAAAATCACTTCCATGCCTTTGTTCAATATCACTAGTAGTGAGAAAGAGGGTGTATGATCTCCGATGGTACGCCTCAGTTGTGATACATGAAATATTAGGTGGATTGTTGATGATGTTAACAACTACAGACAAAAGGAAACTGCCCCTATGCTCCTTGTCACTTCATAAGGCCCGAAATAACATGTTGATAGCTTCACATTCTTCTTCTTGGCTAGCGTCCTATGTTGGTATAGTATCAACTTCAAATAAACTCTTTTTCGAGCTCGAACCGCACTTCCTATCTGTATTCATTTACTTTCCTCTTTATAAGTTGTTGAGCTCTCAACAAATGCAATTTTAGTTCTGCTAGTATCATGTCTCTCTCCTTCAAGTAGTAGTGTAATACCCTGTTCGTAATGTATCAGGTGAGGTGGATCCAATAATCTACCCAGTTGTATAGAAAGATGTGTTATACCAATAATCTGCCCATGCTAACCATTTGGCCCATAGTTTTGGTATGTCAAATACAAAGCAACGTAAGTATGTCTCCATACTCCTGTTGACTATCTTTGTCTGGCCATCTGTTTTTGAGTGATATGTTATACTTCTTTTTTAGACAGCCCCTTGCATCTTGAATAACTCTCTCAGTTGAAGTTCATAGCCACTTCCTCTCAGACCTTCTCAAGTAAAGCTAATGGTTGCAACAACCACCAACAACAGTGTAGGGGTGCTTTAGTGGAATGAAATGTGCATGTTTGCTCAGTTGATCAACCACCACCAACATCAGTGTATATCCCTCCAAGCATGGCAAACCCTCAATGAAGTTCATAGCCACTTCCTCTTAGACCTTCCTCTCAGCCATCTGTTTGTGGGTGATATGTTATACTTCTTTTTTAGACAGCTCCTTGCATCTTGAATAACTCTCTCCAAAAATGACTTGTCTCTGTCTGATACTATCGATTCTGGAATGGTGTGTAAGCACACAATCTTTCAAATAAAGACTGTGGCGACTGAGATAACAGTGTAGGGGTGCTTTAGCGGAATGAAATATGCATGTTTGCTCAGTTGATCAACCACCAACATTAGTGTATATCCCTCCAAGCATGGCAAACCCTCAATGAAGTCCATAGCCACTTCCTCTCAGACCTTCTCAAGTAAAGCTAATGGTTGCAACAACACCCCCTCCCCCCCAATTGTCAGATTATTATGCCACTAGCACACATCACACCTTGTTACAATATAGCTGATAGTCAACTATATATCTTATGTGCTCAAAAGAGCCCCCCTATCGCACTGCCATGAAACTCTTGCAGTAACTTGCGGATGTAACTGGAGGTCCGGGGTAACACAAATCTCCCCTTGTATAGTAATTGTCCCCCCTTTAGAGCATAACCTGGGTGACTGTCAGGATCCTTCAGCAACTCTTCTATGATTTTCCTCAACCCTTCATTCTACTCTCTCTTGTCTCAATGCCTCCCAATCTAAGATTATGGGTACTAACAAGGCTGCCAACTGAGGCTCCTCAACTCTCCTGTACAAGGCGTATGCTACTTTGCTTTCTAGTCCTGACCAACATTGATGTCAAAATCATATTCAAGCAACTTGGAAAGCAATCTCTTATGCTCCTCAGTAACCATCCGCTCATCCAACAAATATTTCAGGCTCCTCCAATCTGTTCTGACTATGAAATATCTCCCCAACAAATAAAGCCACCACTTTTGAATAGACAAGACAATCACCATCAGCTCTCACTCATACACCGACTTGAGCCTTGCCCTGACAATGAGCACCTGGCTGAAATATGCATGAGTACTGCTCCTAGCCCATAACCTGATGCATCACCTACAAAGTCATTTCATTATTAGGTCTTACAACCTCTAAAAAAGAACATTCTATAGTTCCATCGTTTTAAGGAACTACATGATGAAACCTCTTCAACACTTAAAAGGATCTTATTTTCTAAATTGTGAAGTAGTGGACCTCCTTACTGATTCAATCATAAATTATTAGAAGATAAGTAGGAGGGTGAAGCACAACGATCCATGTTAATGTCAATACACTAGGAGATGGATATCACCAACTCCAAAAGCATATGCTGATGGTTAAGACATAATATTAGAATATTAAAAACTCAATCCTTATTTGCACTCTCGATGGGACTTAATTTTTACTCTCACTGTATCTTAAAAAAAGTACTTCAACGTATATTACCCTAAGAAAACCATTTCTATTAAATGTTTTAATTAAGATAATAGATCTTTATTTTATTGAATGTATTTGATCAATTACAAAGTGTTTTAATGTTATAAATTTTATTTGAATGTTTTTTAAGAATACGCATTACGCACGCACACAAGACGCATATCGTACGTAGTATACACGCACAGAAGACGCATAGAGTACGCATAATACACGCACACATTATCCATCTTATAAATTCTTTTGTGAGGTAAGGCGTAAGCCTCAAGGCATTGTGAGGCTTAAGCCTCAAAATCTAAAAATTGCGTAAAATGAAAATAAATGTTAAAAGTATTTTTTTAATATAATACCCAAATAATATATTAAATAATGACATATTAACTTTCTATTGAACTATGAAGTCATAAATTGACATACATATGAATCAAAAAATTGCATAAGACATAAAGCTGCAAGTGATAAATTGCATGAAATAGAATTGAAATCTAAATATTACAAGAGAAACAACATGAAATATAGAAATTACATAAAAATATCATATAACATCAAGTTCAACTCCAAATTCCTTCTTTCTCAGTTTCTAACTCATCCACATTTAATTCCTAAAAAAATGACATATTTGGCAAAAACTCGGAAATCATATGCACTATCATCACTGAGAGGTATTTATTTGAGTTGTTGTCATAACAAATTGGGCTCTCCCCTACCTTATCCTATGGAGTAAAATGCCTCTCAATCTATTTCTTGTTCATTTGTTTTAATCATCTTTCTCTTTCATAAATATTTATCATTAACATAAAAAGAGAATAATACTCCAAATTTTTTTAGAGGATGAGGTGGTGGTGTGTGGCTTTCAAGTGATTCCTGATGGTGGCTACGATGGCGGTGGCTACGATAAAGGCGGTGGGTTGGAGGTTTTGGTGGTTGAGAGGAAGTTGTTGTAATTTGGGGGTGCATGAAGGCATGATTTGTTCGGGACTTTAGTTTAGGATTTAGGTAAGTTTTAATAAAAAATATATAAATCGGGTGAGGCGTATGCCTCACCCTAATAAGGCGAGGCGTGCATCAAGGCGAGCCTCAGCTAAGCTAAGTGCAAGCCTCATAAAAAAAGCTCGAAGCGTAAGCCTCAAGGAGTTTTTCACTGGAAATGCACTGAGGCGGGCCTTAAGGCTAGCCTCATATATTGCACAATTTTAAACAATGGAAATGAGAAATAAAATTGTAAGGAAAACATCAAAAAATAAGGGAAACAAGATTTATACAGTTAGATGAAGTTTGCCTACACCTCCCACAAAGAGTTTGATATTTATATTAGTCCAAAGATAATAGCAAATCTCTCTCTCTCTCTCTCTCTCTCTCTCTCTCTCTCTCTCTCTCTCTCATAGCCTCAGAACTCTACGATTTGCATGCAATCACGTGATGCCACTGGCAGTTAAGAGAAGACAACCTATCTTGGACTTCTTGAAGGAACAAACACCAGCCACACCCTCCTTGGATGTAGTCAACTTCCTTTAGGATCACCATTTGCTTATCAAAGCTTACTGCTAGTTTTGAAGAAAACACCATACTAACATTAAGGAACTCCTTCGCATAAATTGAAGAAAACACCATGAACCAAGATGAATCCTTTCAGTCAAGCTAACGGACTCATGAGTAGATCAAAGTACAAAGACTAGTATCTAGAGAGGTATCCTTCTAAAAATGAATGGGTAAACAAATTTCTGAGATTCATTAAAAAGAGCAATGCATCATAGCAAAAAGTAGCCAACTGCTCCATGCAACTGACTGCCAATTTATGTCAGTTTTCATAAGAATCTAAGCATGATTTTGAATACAATAGTACTAAACAATAAATAAAACTGTACATCAAGAACCCTATCAGTGCAATATCCTGCCTCAATGCACCGTTCCACCCTTAGAAAGGATGCTTTAGAAAGAAGTAATAAAAAAATACTTTAAGAGCAATTGTGCACAGAAAAACACTCGCTGAGAATTATACACAGAAAAAATAGTCAAACAAGCAGCTGATTGATTAAACTACTCATGCATCACTGGCAACGTAGTTTTTAATAGTAATGAAGGATGGGATGGAACGAGAATAAACGGCAAATTAAATTCATAAATTTCCGCAGATATTTAACACTCTCGACTCGTGAAAAACAAAATCAACATGGTGCTAGAAAAAAATGAAGTCAATGTAAGAGTAATTATCAGATAGGCTTCATAGATGCAGCACATGAAATCTGGCATTCAAGAATTCGTGCGATAATAGTGAAAGTAATTATCAGGATGATGTAAGCATATGCATACCGATAGAGCTCCTCGAAGCTAAGGCCGCTCGCGTTGTGATTGTAAATCTCGTGAATCGCATGTTCAAGGATTTTCCATGTCTTCTCGGCGTATTTGGGATCGACCTCCACCTTGTGCTTGAAGGCCTCGATCTTGAAGTTTCTTTTCTTTTGACTGTTCATGCTATCGCTTCGGATCGAGGTGCCCTCAACAACGCCTACGAGGTTGCGACGACGCGGAAGATAAATCGTATAAAATTTCGGAATAGCTTGTGCCTAAGAAACAGAATCAAATTCGAGCAATCCTCAAGTAATCGATGATAAACAGAGAGGGTTAGGGTTTCCAAAGTTCGATTGAAATGGAGATGTGGCGCTTCGAGAGCAGGCAGCGAAAGAAGGGAAGAGATAAAAATATGGGTATCAAGAGGTTAGCCTGGAAAGAAAGTTCCGCAGAGAGGCTGGTAATGAAAATTAACAAGGAAATTGTTTTTGCAACTTATCAGTTAGCAATATTCAAAGCCTCATTCTAATCGCCTCTCTCCAGACATGCCTACGAGCAGTTGCGAACAGCTATCTTCTTCACCAGTATCCTGCTTCGACGGCAATCGTTTTCTTTTGCGATCCGCTTTCCGGTGATCTGTTTTTCCACTCCTCCGGCCCGATTTTCGGCTGCTGCCTAAGTACCAATTTTTAAATAAAAAACAGCGTTCGAGTTTGGCTGTGGAACGCAGCTCACTTGGCTTCGTTTAAGATTTTTTTTTTTTTAGTATTTTATCAAATAATTTTTTTAGTATAAAATTTTTTCAAAAAATTTTAATTCAAAATATATATATACATTAAAAATTTATTTTAAAAATAGTAAGAATATTATTTTAAATATTTTTTTATTCATTAATTAAGAGCTTTGATTATCAATGAAGAGATCTTAGATTCGAAATTTTTTTTTTTTTTTTGGAAATTTTGGGGTCTAAGCCCATATCATTACTAAAGAAAAAGAACTCTGGCTATCTAGAAAAACCAATGAGGAGAATATCCAAATGAGAACTCTGGCTGCGATCCACGTGAAAGCTCAAACAAAAATTCATCATAGAGATGCCAAAAAAAACCTGGTTGCCAGCACAATCATCCAAGGGGTCAATAAAGAGCAGCAGTCATCATCGTCCTTCCAAAAAACCAACCCAATGATATCCCCTGGTTGCCAACATGGCCATCCAGGCGCAAATTTAACCAAGCAGTCCCATTGAGCATCGCCAAGCAAAGCAACGATATCACCAGCAATCTATACAAAGCTCCTAGAAATAAAGATGATAGACTAACCAATCCACATTTGCCTTTACTTTCTCATCTACTTACTTAAAATTAGAATTTATTAGCTCAACCTTGATTAATGACTAACACACAAATTTTCTTATGACATAGCATAGTATGTGTGCTTCAGCACGTCTCCAAATAATAAGTGGTATCCTTGATGGTTATATAATTTAAGCTAGAGATGTAAATCAATAAAAGTGACAAACATCCTAAAAATAAGGGATCTTAATATATGTGGGTATGCTTTGGTATAATAGGTCCAAAGGATAATGATGAATATTATTTGTTATCTCTAATAATTTGAAATATGATAATTTTTATATAAAGGATGTTGATTAAGTGATGTAGCACATCATGTGAATGAAAATAATCAAACTAAAAGTCCAATTATAAGAGTCAAGACCATAGCCCAAAGAAATAACAAAGAAAAACTCAAATTACAAGAGTCCGTAGTATTAAATATTTCAAATATAGTTTATATTTTATTTTTCATCTAAAAGCTTATATGATCAACCATAAAATGATTGGTTAGAGATGAGGCATTAAAAAAGGGGTAGTTGGAACTCCTCTTTAATGCCCACCAAAGCCTTTCTCTCCTTTTTTCGTTATTTTTTCTCGAAAATTTAGTCATGTAATGCCTATAAATATGGGTTGATATGCATTATAATTTTTAATTTTGAAATGAAATACTTTTGTGGAGAAGTTCTCTTTATTTGTTTGGCATTTGGTGTCTCTAATTGTGTCTTTTCTTTGGTGAGATTAGGTAGTTTTTTTTATTTCTTTTATTTTATTTATAAATTCTCTTAAACATCTACTCTAAACTATTCGCAACTCTTGCTCCACTTCATAAGCATCATCTAAGGCTAATAAACTAGCAACCAAAATTATAAAACATTTATAAATCCTTTTATATAATTAATTGCCCAAATAGGGAACACTTGGATCTAGTCCTATCCCATACACTTCAACGTCTTCAACTCTACCAAAATCTACATCAACTCTAGATTAAAAGTTCACATCCTATGCTAACCTTCCCTAATAATTTATAACAATTCATATCACATAAATGCCACTATCTAAAGTGATCTTTCAAATTATCCCAAACAAAACCAAATTAGACTAGTCTTGATTTTTCTACTAATATACCCGTGACGTCCCAATTTCTAAATTTAAAATAATTATCTAGTTTATCACTTAATTAATCTACCAAAGCCACAAATTTCTATATGTTTAAACAAAAGCTAGTAGAAACAACAATGTACATCAAAATATTATATTATATCCATCAGTTGTCAAAAATCGATTTACAATAGTGAGAAGTTCAATCAATACATCACTCTTTCTTTTAATACTTCTTATTATGATAAAACCCAAAAATAGTAAGTAAAACTAAACATGAATTTTTTGTCTAGCCTCACTCTTTTGGGTCCTATCACCTTTATTGAAAAGCATGTAAAACTATAAAGTTATATAATAGCTCAATAAGTTATCAAAATCTACAACTACAATTAATGCATGATAGTAGATGCAATGTGCATGTAATCACTCAATCTAAAACATTACAAACATATAGTAGTAGGAATAAGTAGTTGTTAATATGAATAATGTCGTTTCTTATGAGCAATGGAAACTAATATAAGCAATGTAACTTAAAATCAGTGATCAGTAGCCATATAAAGGGTCTGTGTATTCTACCATTCATATACTCATGCCAAGTTACAAGGTAATAATTCTATTATGAATTTATGGATGTCAATAAATTATCAATCTTATCAATCTTGTCATATGTCATATCAGTTATATATGTCTTATATCATTTTTATACTATATTATATCTAATTATTTATGCAATTTATTATACATGCTCATAGCATATGCATATGTAAGCATGGCATGACATCTTGCTACCAGTTGTACTTTTCCTATATTATGTCTTACAGGCCCTTCGAACCAAATAGAATTCAATTTCATTCATATCAATTTAGTTACCAGGAATTAGTCTTGTATCACATATCACAAATGAGGTGTATTTCATGTAAGAAGTCATCACTTCTTACATGTTAGCTTATTATATCATATCAATCAATATTCTTATGCATCCCTTTTCATATCACTTGAAATTATACTATATATATATATATATATATATATATATAATGCAAATTTGAATTTGGTTTTGGTTTTGGTTTTCTAAGAAAACCAAAATTCATTTTGCATTTTCTAAAGAAAAACCAAAATGAATTTCGATTTTCTTAGAAAAGTTTGTTCCCAAATCCATATTTTCTTTTGCAAGTTTGATCCTTTTTTCAATTTAACTTTAAATATGTTTTCTTCTCTTAATTACACAGCAACAATGATGTTTCAATGATGTTTTTTAAAATTTTGCTATTTAGATTTGTAGCAAATGACCTAAGAAAGAATTTACAATTTTCTTTCAATAACAAGAAAAATAAAATATGCTTGAAAAGTGTATGGTGGGTAATAGTCCTATTATTGGAGGTGACTTCAATTGCATCCTTTCCAAGGATGATAAGAGGGGGTGG